GTACGTCGTCGCTTCTCTTGGTGGCGGTTGGTGGCTTCATCAAAGGAGGCGGAATCGGATGAAATGATTCGGGATACAGAGGATGGGTTGATTGACTGATTATAGGTGGTTTCAAACCAGATTTTCAGTGCGATATTTGATAGATGTGGCTTGAGTTGATGCTGGGCTCGGAGGGCAGCCTTTTGGCTGTTTAAAATAGGTTGACGGGTTTGCTTTGGCATTGCAGAAGGGAGGGACGAAGTCAAAATAGCCTATTTTGGTTACTCCTATATTAGCAATTTTGTATTGGAGGAGGGGAGAATTTAAGCAACTTGCTAGTAATGGAGTATTAAGCAATTTTATATGGAGTTGTAATTTGGACAGCGTGGCCAGTTGCTTATAATGGAGTATTGCTTATATCGGAGTTGCTTATAACGGGGTTTTACAGTAGCAAGCTCGACAGGATCAACGACAGGATCAGCGACAGCAACAACGCCAACAGCTTCCGTCACCGCTACCACATCACTCACATCAACCCAGCCCTCCTATACCTTATCCGTCTCCGCTTCTGTGTGCCCGAGCCAAAACAACACAATGCTCACTATCGGATCCAGCTCCCAGGAATATCAAATCGTCTGCGACGCAGATTTTGGTGGAAGCGGCAAAAAGGACCTTGCCTCGACTGTGTTCGACTCGTTCAATGATTGCCTGGGGCTGTGCGGTAGTATGAACGGTTTCCAATCTCGGTCTGATGTCGGAGCTACATATAACATTGAGGGAACGGGAAGTCAATCGCCGGGGACTTGTTGGTGCTGGGCTACGGGTGGGGATGATAAGTCGGCTCAGTCGAATGATGGGAATGTTGTTGCTATTCCGCAGTGATGGTACGGAATGATGTTTTGTTGATTAATATTATATATCCCTGTGACATTTAATTTGCATTCAGCTTAATTATGACTTCGTTTTCAAAAATATGGAATATGATCGAGCTTTCAGCTGCCTGTCAATTTGACAACTTGGGAGAATTGGACATCACCATGCATTCAAGACGGAAATGCCAATCTCTGCGCCACCTCTGGCATTCCAGCACTGCGCCAAACCTGATACTCAAGAATGTCAGAAAGCTCCTCATCATCAGTTGAATCCGGCGCTGAAGCTGGGTTATGGTCTTCTTGCAACTCGCTCCTATTCGCGAGAAGAAAAAGCACACCCGGCGCAGTCAGAAAATTGGGTCGGTCCAGGATGACGGCAAAGGTACAATAGGGCTCGCTAGTATAGCCGTAACCGTGGCTTGAACGTCTGGTCTGGGGAAAGATTCGCATTTTCTTTGGAGGATCATCGACAGTGAGCAGAACATCCTGTATCCCGCCAATGGTTATTTCGGGCCGGGACTCCAGAAGGGCACGGTGCTTCGCCACTATGTGACTGAATGACACATATGAACTGTGGAATTCAAGATACACAGATTTCGAACCGGATATTTTCTCCATGAGCGTCGATGTAAACGCTTTTGCAACCTGTGCCAGGTGGAGGTCTGACAGCGGAAAGGCGACATGAATGATGTATCTTAAGTCCGGTTCTGAGGCCATAGGAGCGGTCGTAATAGTCACCGCTCCATCCGGCTGAGATGCCACGGTGAAATTCCCCAAAGCTAGTGAATCCGCTTTACTGTCCAGCAACTGACGGTCCTCATGCGAGATGCCCTGATCGACAGGAAAAGGTTCCCCTTCGTCATCAAGAAGCCCATAATCATAATGAAAATCACGCTGAATGCTCCTTCGAAAGGTCCATTTAAGACCCCACTTCACTTCCCAGATATCCTGACACTTCTGCACTGTAATCTCGTTCCGTTCGGGGCACGGATTAGGCTCATAATCCACATCTTCCCAGTATGGTGGAGCGGTCGTGCATCGCGATCGCACATCGACGACTGTCTTGCCAGGAAAGCTGCGATTAAATGTCACCAATAACGGGCCCGTTCCTTTCTCATAGTGGTCATGGGCCTGGAATCCCGCGCGATAAACGTCCGATGTGATGACCAAAAGAAATCCTTGTGGAAGCCGGTCGAACTCATTAGGCTCCACTTTCGCGATACCGGGAAAGAAATCTTCCCCAGGCCTTATTCTCTTTCGATGAGCAATCTCGCGCCTCTGATGCTCGACACACGCGAAGGCGTCCGGCTGCGGCGCGTAGATCTCAAATGCGGGGCCGGGTCGAAAATCGATCTCTTGTGCGAGATATTGACACAGAGCTTCATGATCTGAGTCTAGGGGAATGGTGCTGTAGACCTGGAATGCGAATTCAGGTTGAGCTTCCAAGTCCTGTTCCCTGTCTTCCGGGTCTGTTTCTTTGTATATAAGCAGTGTTGCGGGCTGGCCAGCGTGGTCTTTGTAGGGGTGATGCACCCATTTTATCGGTGAGCCTGTTCTTCTTGCTGTTTGCTTGGTTCGGGCCATTGTATCTGGATTTGACGTTGGTAAGACTCAAGAAATATTTGCAGAAAAAGCGGCCATGGTAAAGTGTTGGCTTTGAACAATGTGTTGTCGCAGTAACCAATGTTGAGACCCCCGCAATGGATCATCACTGTGCCTTTGAACCATTGATCAGGATCCTAACTGACTCTATAGATCCATCTTCGACGATTCTGCATTCATTATGTCTGAACACTTCCGGTTCTTGGGTCTACCGTCATCCATTCGCGCACACATCTACCAACTGATTATCGCAGACGATGAAGCTCAATTGGCTACACAGGCCCCAAATACCTCAAATACAGCGAGTAGTTGGAAGTCGGGCCAGGATATTCGTAACTTGCTCCTGACTCATTCCCGCATATATGCAGAGCTGTCATACGCCCAAAAGCACTTGGTTGTCCAATACAGAAATAACCGAAGTCTCCAGAAACTGCATGACTTGACACCGGCCGGAATCCAGTCTCTTGTTAAACTGACTGTTCTTCTGAATGTCAGTACCTGTGAGCCAGGATGGGGGTGTTGTAAACTCCGGTCGTGTGGCAGTTGGGGGTGTAATCGGCACGACCAACCGCTCAGCTCGACATCACCACATTATCATGAAGTCCTTGAGAAGTGGTACAGCGCGATTGAGTACATAGTACCATTTGTACGACCAAATCGGTTACAGCTGTTTTTTATCTGCGATGTTGCGGACATGACAGCGGCTAGGGCGGTTGTTGAACCACTACTCAATGAGACTCTTCCTACGCTTGGAGAGTGTAACATTCGCCTAAGCGCAGACGCTGATCCTGACATACGACAAATTGCACACCGAGCAGCAAAGCAAGCCATGGGTCTTTCATTCACGGAGCCACAATCTCCATTCCCCTTCCTGGATTTACCTTGGGAGTTGCGACATCGGATCCTGCAATACACCGATCTAATCACGTCCTTCCGCGAGCTCACCTGGAGTCCCTGTTCTGGATATCATGTCACATTTGCCGTAGACTATTGCGAAGGGGAATGTGCCCCTGAGGACCATCACGCCTCCCTGTTTCATGATTGCTGGAAGAGGCCTGCAGTGATTGACATTGGATGCTTCTGTTCCCGCTTCCACTCCGTCTTTTCAAATCATTGCCAGTGCTGGCATTTTCCGAGCCCATTCTTCCTGGTCTGTCGTGCTTTTCGGAAAGATGCTTTGTATGTCCTCTTTACGCAGAATCGATGCATCGTCACTCCAGTTGATGGGTATGGCTGCGCACCAAAAACTGTTCTGTCGTGCTTTGAAAGTTCAATCTTCTTGCGTGACATCGTTCCATCGGACTACCTATGTCGGTTGAAATTCCTTGAAATCGTCTTCCCTCCAGTGGATGAAGAATACCTCGAGCCTCGAGGGCCTGCACTCCAGGACTGGGAGCACACAATCGACTACTTCAAGGACAAGCTAAATCTCCCGACTCTCACTCTACTCATATATTTCGCAGACTTCTACGGCTCCTGCCACGCACCTGTCTCCCGAAAAGAACTAGGCCGCGAAGAAGGAACGTCCAAGGTATTAGGGGCATATATGCAAATCACTCGTCCCTTGGAGAAGCTAAAGGCAAATGGACTCACTCGGCTATTTGTGCATGCGGCCTGGCCATGGACATGGACAAGGGACGGAGAAAACGCTCTGCTGAGGCAGGAGTGGATTGTGAAGAAGGATGTAAACGAGATTGAAAAGGGGCTAGAGAGCCAAGTTATGGGGGAGGGTTATGATAGCGCCTTGTTGGGAAAGAATGGGTTTCCGAAGAGTCAGTGGCTGAAGGATCATGAGATGTATGAGGATTTTGCCTGTTGGTGTGCGAACTGCCATTTGTAGGCCATGCGAAGGGGGAACCTCACTCTTCTTATCCCCCATTCCCTTCACCTCAGCAGCTAAAGTTGCATCATATGGTCCGAATAAGCGCTGCTCCGTACTGCTTCCCATTTCAGTTTAGTCGCATTTGCGCTCAACTCTTGAGCCTCGTCTCTAGAGCCTCATCTCTTGCACATTGCTCCACATGAATAGACAAGAACCAATTGTATATGGATTCTCCAAAGGGTACCCTGTAGGTCTGACGTGAGACTGATTCCTCGTATGCGGACACCGTAGCCATATGCTTTAGAGAGCCAAGCACTCATTCCATTGTCTATGGTATCTATAGATGTCAATGTCATCCTTTTTAGTGTAATTTAAATTCCTCCCTCGCCTATAGCCTCGTGCAGTCCGGATAATCGACTCCCCGACTTCCCCGACACGGAGTTTAACTGCTACATTGGTTTATCCGTTTCATCATCCACATATTCCCCCTTTTCACCTTGAATCCAAGATTTCTGTGTCCATCACCAGGACCCAGGAATGATGGCCGCAGGGGCCGTAATAGACCCAGCCGGGGTCGAATAAAGCAGCGCGCCTATGTCCCACATTATCATCAACAATTTCAGTTTCCATGACCGCAAGTCGAGGGTAGACTAACCGAGTTTTGATTGAAACGCCGGGCTAATCGATCTGTATTGTGATCGTCAATGGCTAGCTTAAGCGCTTGCCCAAATCGGCAATTGCCGAAATGCACGGAGCACAAGTAATGGCCAGATCCGCCACTTCAAATGCCGTTCCTAATATTGATCTTAATATTGATCTTCAGGTTATGCTGCGCCGCATGAACTATGATGATATGATAGGGCCTTACAATGCCTCTGTCCCCACTGCCGGCGGCAAACCCTCGGAGTTCGAGGAGAACCACAGATTAGCACCGTCGTGACAAAGTACGGAGTGTGTAACTACTTGTTCATTTTCCAAACTAAGAGGACCGGGTTGTTATGTGGGCCAAGCGCGTTTTGTCGAGTCCCTATTTCAATTTGCTAAAAAGTCTTTCGCACGGCCAACCACTGCCTCTGGTGCAGTATCCCATGTGCGCACAATTATCAACAACATCACTCAGAAAGGGTCCTTTTAGCCAAATATGAATAAATTTGCTCTCCTCTTGTCGTTGCTGGCAGCGCTGGGGGCGACAAAGCAGTTTTGTTCCCGCGAATTTCATTCTGGTAAGCTACATGTTTTGCGACCAACGACACCACCGACGACTGCAACCGTAGGCTAGCTTGTGCAACTCTCTCTTTTCCCAGTAATTGTTAATAGATCTTCAAGTATGGCATTTAAAATGCTCCCCTGTTTCATATTCGATCTTTTCACATTGCGCGAACGATCTAACCGGTCTTCATAGAACTCAATGGAGTCAATTTCTATTCATGATATTGCCAATGACAAATGGTATACTCAGCAAAGTACGGGGGATGTTCCTCATTGGCGAATGGCCGGCTGTACTGTTGTCGCTGCCGCTCCAGATCTGTCATCCTTCTCTATTTGAGTGCAGTATAACATCAGGCATAATACATGAGTCTGTCGTTGTCTAACAATGCCCTAGATATGTCTTCGGTGGTATGTCGAACTCGGTTTCCACATCCGACGGCGATGTCCACGTCCTTTCCTTGCCATCTTTTCGCTGGATCCGGGTCGTAGATGGTAATGACCTCCGAATCGAGCACAAGTGCCAACTTGCAGGAAAGCACACCATGCTGGCTATTGGAGGGCTTATTCCACATGGCAGTGAGGAGTTTAAACCCAAAACATCCACCTGTGACAGTGGCGCGTTCCAGAACGGGATAGGAATTTTTGATCTCAATGAGCACGACTGGCTTTTTAATTATGACGCGGATGACGGGGAGCACAAAGTACATCAGAACATTTCCGATGTTATTGGGGGAAGGTATGCTTATTTTGCTTCGTCCACAGGTTTTTCTTATTTTGTGTTTTTCGTGGCTAATAGAGTATTTACCTAGCAAAACTGGCGGCGCCACTGTTACGAAACCCGAGAAAGGATTCGGCAGCACTGATATAGCCAATCTATTCAAAAACAAAAAGACAGTCCCCAGCTCAAGCACCTCCCCATCATCAACATCGACAGCCCAATCCGACACTAGCTCCAACTCCATCTCAAAGGGCGGCATCGCAGGAGCAACCGTCGGTGCCGTCGGCAGCGCTGCTGCCCTGTGTGGTCTAGCATTCTTAGTCATCGCGTACAAGCGGCGTCGCAACACGAAGCGGAACCTCGATACCACAGACCTAAATGGTAAAGGCAGACAGCCTCATTTGGCGGAACTCCATGGACAAGAGAGGTCAATTGAGTTGGGCATGTCGGAGGTTGCGGAGATGTCTGCGAATAATGTGCCGCCGCAGGAGTTGCCGGCGGATATTAGCCATACAAGGGCAGAGTTGGATGGATCGCAGAGTAGCCGGTAATCGGGGTGGATGAAGGCTATATCAATCACTATAGGAAGTGTTGTACATAATCATAATAGGGTATCGATGTACTTGTATCTAATCCTAATAAACTAAACCGAGCCGGTGGTGTAATGATATTGGAATATCGGGACGAAAAAATGGCTGACCGCATCAAATGGGATAGATTTCGAATCTTTTTAAGAACCCCCTTCTTCACAAGCTGCTCACGGTGATGAAGCACCGGATGGTAAGTTGAAACGGATAAACCAATGTAGCGGTTAAAACTCCGTATCGGGGAAGTCGGGGGAGTCGATTATCCGGACTGCACGAGGCTGTAGGCGACGAATTTTAATTACACAAGGAGGATAACATTGATCTCTATAGACACAAAGGTGATGGAACGAGTGCTTGGCTATCTAAACCGAATGTGTGTGTGTCCGTATATGAGAGGTCTGTCGGCCTCGGTAATCGGACCAACTATTAATCCACCTTGACTTTCATCAAGATCCCGGAGCGGAATATACGACGGGCGAAGCGGACTCGCCTATCTAGTAGCTAAGCTAATTCTATCATACATGCTGGCAAAGGCTCTCCCGTAGGAGCCCGCCTATGATTATTGGGGCCGCGTTCAGCGGCGCACACATTCTGTGGAGGAAGGGGGGAGGCGAAAAAAGGAAGGAGGGGGGTTAGGAGGGAAGTCATGAAGAGTTTTGAAGTGGAGTTGGTTAGTGCGCGGGGCATATTATGCGGTAAAAGTGAGACCTCTGCAACCATTCATGGAAGTTTCTTGTTCCTGACTTAGAGCGCAGGACCTCATCTACCTGCTGGTCTCCCCATGGGTGTGGGGATGCCTTGTGGCCTTTCCGGCAGAAGTAGAAGTGGTGGGGGGTTTTTTGGCTCCCACATGAGCATTCTATCTTCGCGTCTTCATGTCTAAAACGCTCATGGTAATCCACCTTGACTTTCATCATAAGTCATGAAGTCAACAAGGCTGACACGTGGTCGAGTGGGGCCAAAGTCAATGTCAATATCAACGGTTCTTGGATGTTGAGTGTTCCTGAGTTACATAACCTACATGTAATGTCTCAATTTTCAACTACGGTGTCATCTCCTTCAGAGCCCGCTATCCAGCTAGAAGCCGAGAACGCCGCGTCCACCGGAAACGCACCGCAACTCCAACACTCCCTCAACAACGGCGCGCGACTAGACACCTTCGTTTACCTCAAAGCCCTACAAAACGGCGACATCGCCACATTCCAAGTAATCCTCGACAACGGCGGAGACGTGAACCACGACCTGGGCTCCAGCGGCACTCCGCTAATCAGCGCTCTTCGCCATAACCACGAGCCATTGCTAGAGTTCCTCTTAAACAAAAGAACCGATGTCGATCCCAGCTATGGTCGATGGGGCCACATGCTTCCGCCCATTGGCGTGGCGGTGCGGATGAATCGTGATATCAAGTGGATGGAGCGGCTGTTACGGGCTGGTGCGAGGGTGGAGGGGAGTGGTGCGTTGCATGTTGCGGCGATCAGGGGTGATATACCAAGGATGAGGCTTCTTTTGCAGTATGGGGCGAATATTAATGAGGTGCCGATGTGGAGGGTGCTTGCTTTTGTCAATTACAACAAGAAAGGGACGCCGGTTCATTGGGCGATTGTGGGGGGTTCGACTGAGGCTGTTCGGCTTTTGTTGGAATGTCAGCCAGATCTCTCTGCTCTTGATGAGGATGGTGTTAGTGTCCGGGATCGACTGCGTGAGGCTCACTACAGCGTCGGAGAATACTAGTACTCGGGTGTATTATGCTTTATGTACGAGAGATCCAAAACAGAAGATGGGACGTAGTAGATCTTAAACGGCTCCACGATAAGAGGTGGATAGTGGGGCTGTGGGATCTCAATCCATTTTCGCGATTAGGTTTAGCGCCACTGGCGACATAGGGTTATTTAGCCTCCCCGCAACTTCGTACGGGTGAGATTTCATTTAAATAATAATCGGAGCGCTGTCGTGGTTTATAGGTCTATGGTACCTGATTCTGATTTCCGTAGTATGGCTCCGTTGATCCATTGTGTTCGCCATGCTCAAGTACGTGTTTTTTAAAGTATCGAGATGAAAATATACTTACGATCTTTAGGGCTTCCATAATCTGGGGCACGAGAATTGGCGGATGATCGATTCTCTCCTTACACCGGCAGGTGAAAGGCAATGTGACAAGTTACGGGAAGATTTCCCTTTTCATTCCAGTGTCGAGCCGGTAGTCGCGTCTCCGATCCACCGGACAATTTACACAGCCTTACACGCCTTCGCCCCTGTCTTCGAAAGTAATCCTGAATTAAAGCTGATCGCGCTCCCGGGTCTCCAGGAGGTCAGCGACCTTCCCTGTGACAGTGGGAGTGATCTCGAGAGCCTGGAAAAGGAAGTTCTGGAAAATAATCTTCCGGTGGACCTGAGTCTTGTCTCAAGTGGGTGGCATGTTAAGGTTAGTGGACCCAGTCATTTCCTAGCTGGAAACACTCAGCATATTCTCAGGCTTAACTATACAGAGTGGGCGCTATGCACCGGATGGCGAAGCGATTCGAGCCCGTGCCCGTGATGCGCGATGATGGCTAAAAGCAAGACCAGAAAAGGAAATCATGGTTGTCGCGCACGGTGGACTTTTGCACTTCTTGACAGAGGACTGGGAAGATGGTAGTGTCTATACAGGTATGTACGCCTCTCTACCCCGGAACCGAATAACCCTAATCGGTACCAGGAACTGGCTGGGCAAACATGGAATACCGTACCTACGGATGTACGGAGGAAGATGGAGATAATAGCACATTGATGGAAACGGATACATCCTGTCAAAGCCGTGGAAAGCTCGGGCTGAGACCTACTCGCGAACAGCAAAGAGAGCTGTTTGACTCTAGCAGAAAGCAGTGGGATCGGAACGGGGTGCAGCTCAGCGCGGCTGAGAGGGAAAAGGTGGCTGCCTTTCGTGCAAGTGAATATTACATGGTGCCGCGATCAACGAAATGCTTCTAGGCAGAGCATTGGCGTCTCCTATGCTCAGGTAATCGAGCGAATGATATTTTCCCATTCTCGCTAATATCACATGATGAGCCCCACAGATAAGATTTCTCAATCTGTCTTCCCGATATGGTCTAGCGCGTCTGATATCCGGATGAACAAAGATTTGTTCAACCACTCCCAATCCTGTTCGACCTCGTTGAGAATGAGGAGCAATGCCCGTGCAGCAGTTGTCGGACAATACTGCACCAAAAGGTAGGCCCATGTGGCGAGAATATCAATGGCGGCACATTGCTAATGATGCACGGGGTAGATTGTAAAAAATGTCAGCTTCGTCGCATTAAATGTGACCGCAGTCTACCGGGATGCAACAAATGTGCAAAGCGTAGTCTGGAATGTCCGGGCTACGGGGTAGCTGTTAGATGGGTGCAAGGTGTTGCAAGTCGAGGAAAGCTGCAGGGGAAATCCATTCCCTTGCGAGATGCACCTGCCGCAACATCGTCACTACCACATGGGCTAAACAGTGTTTTATCGAGCATTGAGGACGTGCAGCATCAGGTTGCTGTTCCACTGTCGCCATCGAATCCGTGCCTCCTCGACACTCAAACCCCACATGCGCCTCAATTACTTCAATACTTCATGGAATGTGTTGCCCGCAGGTTAGCGTGGATAGATGGTCCTGAGAATCCATGGCGACACGTCGTCGTGCCTTTATTCGAGGGCTCAGAAACGGTGCTCTCATCTGTCCTCGCTTTAACAGCACATGATATGGCATCTCAATATCCTTCCGGTGATTTTTGGTGTGACAAATTTCAAAGGATATCGAAATCCTACCAAAACAAAGCCCTTGGACTTCTCGCTTGCGAAATTAGCATCCTGCGCACGCCGCCTGACTTACGATCTACTACTAACATATCTACTCCTGTCCTTGCATCTGCGATCATCCTCTGCAATGCTGAATTACTGGCGGCCCAAGAAGCCGGATGGCGGGTCCATCTACAAGCTGCACAGGAGGTCATCAGGACAGAAACTGATCGGTTACTTCTGCAAAAACCGGCAGACCGCATCGAAGAATTCTTCCTACAGGAGTTCTATGCAACTTCGGTATGGGCACATCTGACAACCTTCCACGATATAGACGAGATTGTACAAACTCCTCTTACTGGCAGCAGAGATGCTGTCTTTACTGATCTCATCCGGATCATCCATCAAATCACCCAAGCGGAACGCATCAAAGCTCGTGCTGAACTCTTGCAATTACCGCCGCCAGACCTAATCCCCTGCGTCGACATCCATATTCAACTCGAGCTAGCCAGACGGAGTGCTGTATGTCTGGGGCAATCGATTCAGTTCTGGTCCGACAACGACAGGCGCGCTTTTGAGCATCTCGTATGGATGTATTTTCACGCCAGTCTGATATACAGCTACCAAGCACTCGCAGACCATCGTACATGTCAAACACTGATTAAGCAATCCCGCGATGCGATTCTTACAAACTTGCACTCTCTGTCCGGAACCGGGAATGAGCTGTTTGCGCAGAATCTTGTATGGCCGCTCTTTATCGCTGGGACAGAGTTTCAGGAGAATCGCGCTAGCCAGAAGCTCATCGAGCGTCATCTCACAAATGTGATGCGCATTAGCCGTACGTTGGATAGAAATCGGGTGTTGTCGTTTCTGAAGGATTGGTGGACATTACCTGATGGCCAATGTATATCGTGGATTAAGCTGGCGAGGAAACGGGCTTGGGCGTGTGGCTTTTTCTTAGCATGACAAAACGTGATGTGAGCAACAATCCCAAGTATAAAATGCAAGTACTTCCCCCCTCGTTAGATATACTCCGCGGTAGTATAATTAAGCGGTCCCAAACCCCATCAAAGGAGCATCATCTGTGGGCCCCTAGCTCAAAAAGGTAATTTTCTCATATGAGCTGCCTCTTTCGGACTAGTCGGATATACATCATAGCCGATGCAATGTTCCAGAGATGATGCACACAACGGGAATCCATAAATACAAGCAACCATTCCTGTCAGCAGGCAAGGGAAATTCTCTTCTTTATTCATGAGCTCTCAGCCTTCGCTGCACCATACACCAATATGCTGTTGGTTTGCCCGTCCAAGCATACTATATTTCTGGATACCCATGGCCAATCCTTTAGTGATTCTTTCTCAGGAACTATTCACCTGGGTGGAGAGGCAGAGCTATCCTCGCTACATGTGTCCCTCATGCAAACAATTCTACTCGATACTGAGCGACATCCCACTAGTGGAAATTCCATCCACGAACAAAGACACCCAAAGAAACGGTTCCAGCGCCACAAACCAAAGAAACAACAACGCAATGCTAGCTTGGAAAGGACTTCTTTCACTACTGAATTACTTCACTACAATCTTTCAACTTCGCCAACGTCGAATCAAGCCCGCGATCATGAATTCAGCCTATCGATTCCGTGCGATGTACCCGCGTCAATCGGGAGGCCTTCACTCAGCATTACATATGACCTAGTCGCTTTAGGGACTACGACTAGTGGACGGAATCTCACTACTCGCCAGACACTACACGTCACTCGACTCAAGATCCCCGATCCCCATGAGGTCTTTCGCTATATTCGAACATTCCCGGAAACAAAGCTACGCGCTGAATTCATTCTCTATCCTGAATTATCGCCATCACATGGACATAGATGCGGAAAACATATATCCGCTCAACTGCTATTACGAGATGTTGCCACGCCAGGGCCTCGACACGGTGAAATGACCGTAGTGATAGCAAAAGAAGTGACATGGCGCGTGGACGAAATCGAGAGCTGGAATACGCAGCAAACACAAGACAGGCCGGTAACGAGACAAAAGCGAATAATAGCAACGGGTGGGCTCAAGGGTCGATGGGCGGCGACGAGAGCCAACGCTGGAGATACTGGATCTGCGGATATGGCGATCCCCATTCCATTTGATATTACCATCGACAGCAGTGCAGATGCATTAACCGATTTCACATCCGAGTACTCACGGTTAGCACCAGTTCTAGCCGTTAAACATCGGTTGACAATGACTATCGTGACGGGTAGCGAGACTATAAATAGGGAGACTGGATCGTTGGTGGATAAAAGAGACACTGTGCGTGTCTTGGGGGCGACTGTACCGATACATGTGTACGAGTACGTTGAAGGATCGATGGTGTCCGAGCGATTGGAGGCTTCGGATGCAGTGCTGCCGCAATATAATGGGTGTTCGGGATCGCCTCCGGGCTATTCGAATTAATTTAGCTAGTTTTAGGCAGTGCGAGACGAAGTGCTCTCTGTTGAAGCAACATGATGTGAGCAATGGACCACTGTTGGAAATGTTTCCAAGCCCACGCGCGTTCCCATTGCATAAGCACGATGATGTACTTTGGTTGGTCTTTGACGGGTGCCCAGTATAAAGCGGTCTAGTTTGGGATCGAACAAACATAGTCCCAGGAAGCTTGCCAAAGACGTGCGGTTGATTGATCGCGATCGAATATATCTGTTCCACGCTGGAGACCCAGTTGGATCACACTGAGAATAGGGGACTGCGGCAGCAAAGAATTGTCTTTCACGACCTTGGACCAAGTAAGTCCGCCAACAGCTGGTACTAGTTGTTTAAGCTCCTAGGTAGTGTGGATTGTCTTACTAAGTATGCGGTACTTTATGGCTTGACCTTATTGTGCTCATTATGTTCATCTATCCGTGACAATGGTTGTCGTTGAATTCGAGAAACTTTGACTTTTATATTCAATTTGGTTCACATCACATTACTACTAGTAGCAAAAATTATTTCCTCCGATACTAGCAACAATCACTTCCTCGCCCATTCAACGATCCGTTCCAGCAACAATCGACCATCCATCGGCTTATCCAGCTTCTCAATTTCCTTCGCAATCTGCTCCTTTGACGAGTTGCCGGTATACACATCATCCTCATCGGCAAACATTTTCTTCGCAAGAGCGTTGTGAATTTCCGGGTGGGCCTGGAAAGTGAGGATTGTGTTCGCTTCGTTCACAAAACATTCGTGGCCTTCTGCGAGATGGATAAAGTTGGGTGCCGGTTTGGCTACTTCGCGGACGTGGAATTCGGGTGCTCGCTTATGGGCTGTTAGAAAAGTATGCTAAATGGAGTGCTCTAGAGATACTTACATAGGACTCGGTTCCTGGAGCGAAGCGGAAAAAGTCCTTACCCTCTGGGGTCAGTTTAGTATCCTGAATTGCGGCCTGTGATAAAATTTTACCGTTAGCATTTTGCTCGACCCTCAATGAAGCACTTCATTTGGAAACTGTACAATTGGACCAGTCGGAACAGCATGAACAATACCTCCCAGCGCCCGTTGAATGGCTTGATGACCCCAGCAGATACCCAGCATCTTGACCTTGGGAAAGTCTCGCGCCGTGTTCCGGACGAAATCCAGCACTCCCAGCACCCATGGCTCTGATGAAGAGGAATCGGCTTTCCCTCCGCTTAGGACGATAAAGTCGTATTTTCCGGGATCGGGGAAGTTGGCGTCGAACACGGGATCGTAGCAGTCAATCTGGGCATCCGATGCGACTGAGTGAAATGCATCGTCGTATGCCTTTTTCACGTCATTCCAGAATTCATTGCCGGGTGGGCTGTTTATGAGGACGGCGATTTTCAGTGGTGCTATCGAACCCATGATGGACAATCTCTTATGTTTGAAGATTCGAGGTTGATGTGGAAAATATGCTCGTGAGACCGAGAGGGGCTGATATATATATAGTCCGCATTTGCGCTCGGGTGTTTACTTGAAGGTTATCGCTATTGCAGACCATTTTGGGCAATTCCAGACCAGATTAAGAGTACCGACCAGTCAAAGATAACGCATTGTTTCCATCCAATAACGGAGACTGCACGAAATCCAACGTCCGATATCCCCATAGTATGTCTGATGCGCTATTCCTAAAGCGGTGCGCGGGTGCGATTTCCCCATTTTTTCGATTAGCCGAGATATCAGAGTACCTTTTAGAGACATCAAGAGAACATGAAGAATTTTCTTGAATGCTCTACCACCTCTAATAATCACTTGTTTTATGCCCGGGTCCCATCCTAAATGAGGAATGTACATCTTCCACCCCGCGGTGTATAGCGAAATGTACAAGCCTGCTCCTCCGAGGCCCAAGAAAACGAACATTGTCCGGTCACGCACGGGATGTAGAAACTGTCGCGAGAGGAAAACGAAGGTAAGCTGGCAATATTTGCGCTATAAGCAATTGTCCGTTAATATTTGTCGTTAGTGCGATGAGCAGAAACCGGCGTGTGGGACTTGCGTCAGACTGGGAAAGGTCTGTGAGAGTACTAAACCTGATTTCAGATTTCGCACGGTGGACAGGCCGGGTTCTTCAAAAGTCGCCATCTCCAAAAAGAAATCACGATTGGAGTACAAGAGGCAGTCTTCTCCGGAAAAGCATATATCTGATGAGCCGGATTGCAATGGCCTTGGGTTAGGACGACTTGATCTTATCAGATCTTTACAGCATACGGAAAGAGATGTCTTTTATTCTACATATTGGGAAGACATGTGTCTCCCGGCATTACACCCAGTCTTCCACTCAACCTCTCGCTTAGCCAGCAATAATCGAATGTTAAACGATGCTATTTTGGCCCTGTCAGCATGCAACCTGAGCCGCTTACACGCAGAAAAGAGAAATACCTCTGAAAAAAATGTCGCGGCCCACAGTCCAAGTCTAATCCACCAGACTAGAAGCTATTGGTACTACTCATCAGCGATTCGGGCATTTACATCACTGCAACAAGTCGACTATCGATATAACGCGATAATAGTCCTGACAGTATTAGCTGTATTTGCACACCTCGAGTCCTCGATGGGCAACTTCGAAGGATTCTACTGTCATTTTCAGGGTTTATCTGCGTTTCTTATGGTCCTGGAAGAGATAGCAGGAGACCCGGTTGTGAAAAGCCTTCTCATGTCGTGGATGCAGATACGGTTTGTGGTCTGGTGGGCTCGTGTGTACTTTTGCTCGTTGGATGTACTGCAGCGGTTGCCGCCGGTTCCATTACCGCGACTACTTGAGGGGAGCTTTATTGGCTCCCTTTACGAGAGACGTGTTGTGGTATTGAGTATCATGTGCGAATCGCATAGACTGAATTGCAATGCAGTGCTGAAGCATTGGTCCCTTGCGGCATTGAAAAACTTAAATAACGTCGGGGAACGATACACGATTGATGATGATAATGATGAGATGAACTACTTTACGCCCTTGGGTGACGAAGCAAGGAAGCTGGATGAGTGGCTCTTGCATCTTCCACCGTCAGAACAGCCACTCCATGATATTAGTTTACCGCTTCGCTATGACATGAATAATTTGAGCAACGAACCACTATATTTTAAATCACACGATGCTGCCCTTAACTCTACATACTACGCACTCGCGCGAATTATGCAATGCGCCGCTTCTATACACCACCTCGAAAACCAGAAACTCCCCTGTCCCACTTCAAATGATTCCGAAGAAGAAACTTGGATCCGACTCCTTCTCCGAATAATCAAAGGAACCAACCTCCACATGTCCGCCTCCAGAAACAGCTACACAATCGGCTTCTCAGGCATACTCCTCGCTGCGCTCCTTCGCTGCCAGGACCTCGGTCTCAGTCTCGAAATCCAGAACTGGCTGCAGAATCTTGAGAACGTGCAGCCTACAGAGGAAGGCGCTTTTCCGGTATACCAGGCCGTGGGTGTGGCCAAAGCTATTAATCGACAGAGGATGGTGGGGAGGAATATATATGGCGTTACGCAGCTGGTTGATGATGGTGGGGTACCAAAAGTCACTGCGTATAATAGCCAGTCGATTGATAGCATGTTGCTTCATGGGAGGTGCCAGCTGTCGGGTGAGTTTTTTACAGAGTGCGTTTCGATTGAGTTGTATGGTTAGAAGGCAGTAATTATTTTTGTACTCTATTAACAGAAACGAGTGCGACACTTGCACTTAGGAAGTGGACAACATAACTATCAGGGCACCACCTCCTCCCCCCTCCAATCCCAACACCTCCCCCTTCCCTCCATCCCCATCTCCACCAAAACCCCCAACAACTTCCCCGCCGCCTCATCTGCCGCCAACATCTCCCTTCCATCCCAATACTCCCTCGTAAAATCCGTCCTCACAGTCCCAGGATGCAAAGCAACCGCGCACGACCTCTCCCGACTACGCGTCCGCAGATGCAAATCCAACGTCTTCGCCAGTTGAAACACAGCCGCTTTACTAGCCCGGTATGAATACCAGCCCCCCGAGGAGTTATCGGAGATAGATCCCACACGCGCAGCCATCATCGCGTAGATGGCATGGGAGGGGAGATTTACTCCATCTCTTGTTGGTTCGAAGGGAGGGGATGATTTGGTGGGGAGGAAGGGGGTTAGGTGCTTCATTAGGAGGAGGGGGCCGAGGGCGTTGACTTGGAAGCTGTGTAGGGCGTTGGATGCGGAGATTTGGGAGGGGGATTTTTCGACGTGGAGGATGCCGGGGAGGGTTAGTGCTAGACGGAGGGGGGTGTTGGGGTAGGTGTCGCGGAGATAGGATGTCATGGAGGAGATGGAGGATTCATCTGTGATGTTAGATGTACAATTGAGATGTATGGAGAGTAGAAGTACCAATCACGTCAACCGGGAGAACTTGTAGTCTTTCCTTGTCCTTGATACCCGAGAGCAGTTGGTCGTGAACTTCATCGCAATTCTGTCGCGCAGTTGCTACAACAGGCAGGTTGGAATTCGCTAAGAGATACCGCGCAAATGCAAACCCCAGTCCTCGAGAGGCCGGAGTAACAAGGCAAAATCCAGAAGATGCCATATCAATACAATTAATGTCTACAAGTCCAATTGGAACGACGTCCAGAGGTTATATATTGGCATGCCGTGACGTCATATATAACTTTCCCGCAGCATTCCAGCAGCAAGACACCATCATACTTTAACAAGGAACAGGCAAAGCGCCGACGTTACTAGACGCATTAAACAAGTCCACTTCAGCTTTCCTCCTGCGCACAAGCCCGTTGACCACCTTCCCATTAGCCTTATTCCACAGCGGCAATTCATCGTTCGCAACGGCAACGACATCCTCGCCGGCATTCATGAGCCGGACCAAATCAGAGGATTCCATGTTACCATTTCCTACATTGAAGGTCCAGGAGACTAATGCGCCGTATTGGTTGTCGTTGAGGGTGACTGGGTCCGCGAGGGCGTTGGTTACGGCATCTCGAGCGCTCTACGTAGGCATTAGCATTTAGAATCATGCTTGCAAGGGCTTAGGGAGAGGACTAACAATCAAATCACCCTGGAGCAACCTGGTCGCTGAATCCTCCGACATAGGAGTGGGGAAGGGCACGTCGGAGCAAGTAGCGTTTGCGCAGAGGTGGCCGTAGCCGATGGTCGGGTTTCCGAAGCCATCATCGTAAGGGTCTGGCTGCATTGTCTCAAAGCCCTTGAGGAGGTCAAGGGTTGGGATGTTGACTGGAGGACCGGTGCAGGCAGCAACTGTAGTGGCTAGGACTGGGATGAAGGCGAGGACTGCCTTGGAGGAGGACATGGTAATGCTGTGAGAGACGACGACGATGATGGCATTCTTGGTTGGGGACTTGTCGTCCTTATGTATTGTCAACTGGTGATTGTTTCAACTCTTATAACTATAGCCAGATCTTTCCTTTAACTTTCTGAAGTTCTTATTGTCAGCTGCTGTAATGATCAACAGATAAATGGTGAAAATAATGGTCGAGATACCAAGAAAAGCTGGGATTTAACTGGCTACAGCACTGTTAACAAGCCACTCTAGCGGGAAAATCACTTTGAAGCAATCCACACAACACTAGCTGCCAAGGAGCTAACTTCGTATTGTGCCGTCGACGATCACTCTGCAGGGTCCTGGGTGTGATTAACCTGCATCCCGGACGGCTGTGGTAAATACGAGGCATCGCCTCACGGGTAAGCGAGGATAGATGTAGGCCAAGTATGTGACTGAGTCAAATTGAAGTTGCCAGCTGAGCTCATGCAGTTACGAAACTGTATTCAAGTACGTCGTCTATGGATATTGTACCCTTGATTGCCATCCAACTTAACCCCAAACAATCATGCCGTACGTTGTACCGAAAACATAGCTCCATGCAAATAGTAATTCCATATACACTGAGATGCATTGAAATGATGGACTTCGTCTCGTTGTTGAGACTCCAATATAAAACCAAACAGGAAAGCAAAGACCGTTCAAGATCCCATCCACAACGATAACCTACCATATGCCAAAGACCTTAATCCCCGCGCGTTCGGATTGGCATTTCAGTGGGATCCTGAAAATCGGACGGACACAGAATGCCACCAGCTACAATCTTGCCGATGTGCGTCTTGTCGATTTCCTGGCATTCCTTTCGTACCTGCGACATGAAATCCTCCAGGAACTTGAGCGGACTCTGACTGAACGTAGTCTTCCCATTACCTCCCAGAATAAAACCGTCGTCTGCGATAGCTAGACCCTTGGGTGTCTTGAAGTAAGCTACGCCGAGAAAGTCGCAAAGTTCTTGATACTCACGGTAGGATGCGAAGTACAGCTGCCCGGCGAAGAGGTTCAGTTGGATTTTGATGATATCGGGTATCTGAATCGGAGCAGGAGTTGCGGGTACATTGTACAGAGTCAGACTGTCCAGAGGTGAGAACGTTAGATTCTGGCGTGGCGCATACATGTGTAGGGTAACAGCTTCCGACTTTCGAATCTTCGGTAGAAGATGATTGGCCTCGTATGGACTAATAATGACCACAGCCTGCGCGACCCTCCTGCTGGAGGAGTCTGGGACGCGACAACTCGTGAGAATCCACTGCACTGGTCGCTGATAGGAATCCGAGATAAAGGCTGACCCCTTCTGCTCCTTGACAGTAGTCGCAAAGTCATTCGTGACAAGAAGGTCCGACGGGAATTGGGCCATATCCAGAAATGATGCTACAGATGTGTTCTGCAGCGACTTGAAAGCCGGTTTGAACGCATTAGAATGCCTTTTCAGGATTCCAGTGGAAATGAACGAGCACAAATCCGGGTGAATCGTATGCCTTTTTGGCTCAGCTTCGGGTGGCTTCTGGACCTGTCTCTCTTGTTCGATTTCCGGGGAAAGTTCCCGCTCTTGCTCCTCCTGAAGCCCGGTGGATGCGAAGTTGAGGTTGTCGAACTCATGGCATCGTTGTGATATGAGGCGAAGATTCTCGGTTTTATCCGACAATGTACTCAGGATTGGGACATTGTCCTCGCAAGGTCGGTATCGATGCTCCAAAGACTGCGATTCAGGCTCGAGGAATTTTCTGGCCTGGCTTGTGGACATGTCAAGTTGATCATCGTGGCGGATCTCATCCCACATAGCACACTGCCTCTCGAATCGCTCGCCCTGGGTGGCCCATAAGGGCATACTGCGTCGCGTATCCATCCAGGTCCCTACTATTGCCCAACGAAGAACATCCGAGAGGTCAATCTTCGACTGATTGATTTTTCCGGACAGCTCGAGGATGTTGAATTTAACCTCTTCCGGAATGCAGAATATAACCGACTGCCCCTTGCCCAGTTTCCTCATTCTCATGCATGCTATACACTGGTTAGCCTGCGCTTCGTATACTAGGACTACCGTTTCAGAATCTTACCTTGCACCAGCTTGTCTTTCGTGATACCGGGGCCCAAGGTCACGGCTGCGCGGTAATTGAGTGGCAGTTTCAAGTCAATACCTCTCGTGTGCGCCTCATCAAGGAATACATAGCATGCTTCCAACTGTTTGGCAAAAGGCGAGGTTTGTAGTGGTTCAACGCGTTCATCCCGGTCGAGGACGCAAATCTCATCGCTATCGTTGACAAACACAATGGCATGGATACGCCCGTCATTCGGTACCATCCTAAGCCAATGTTTCGCAACTTCCAGATTGCTGAGCTCTATGATCTGCGCGCCCACGTCGAGAATGACCTGCGTTGTCGGATCCAAACTCGTAACCATATTGAGTAGGAGTTTAGCACCCGAAACGGATGGATCATCGCGGGGTGGGATAAGCGCAACCGAATTCTCGGACCTGAGGAGATATTCCAGAACAAGAGCATTTGTATGATTCTGCTCCGGGAGATCCAACTGCTTGACACTTAGAGGAATAATATTTCGAGAGTCATTGGTTCCACTGAAACCGACAGTGGGGTGTGTTTTTATTTCCCCAATGTCCCAGCCAGATGCAGATAATTTATCTGGGAATTCCTTCAATTCTTTCGCGAACACAATATGAGAAATAAAATAGTCGATGGCACCCTTGGAGAAACGAAGATTCGGGAAAATATGTTCAATGCAGTGATGACAGTCTTCGAGATTAATACCACCAAGGTGGCGATACGCGGGTGGGAGGTCCGGTGCACCTTGTATCCACGCTTGGTATTCAATGTCGGCTTGATCTGATTTGACCAGGTGCTGAAGCGCGAGAAAGAGGTCCTCGTCAGAAAGCCCGGCGTAGTAGTAGCTTAGAGACGTCAGAACAATAACAACGTCCGGGTGGCTGAACTCGGAGCGCGGAGCAGGACTGTCCTTCGCACGATAGGGCACAGACAGCTTGGTAGGCGGAGACCTGGTATTGTGTGGCCCATAGTTAACCCTCCAGCGCTTTTGCCCGAAGCAAAAGTCCAAGACTCCACCTGCCAGAAGGCCCCGTACTAACAGAAGTGGACCTTGAGTAGTCTTGGTAAAAAACCCTCCCGGACCTTCGTCTTCGACCGCAGCGATCTGGTCCGTAGTCAAGTCTGGTTCGAGACAGTATGACAATACGGCATCTCTGGTTCTCTTAGGCTGCCTTGAGATTGGGAGACAATCAATTCCAATGTTGCAAACATGCTTCGCGATCCGTTCCGAAAGGGCTTGTCCAGCGTCACTGTGAAGTAACCGTATCCTGGGGAAGCTCCCAGGCCGCTGTTCATCCACTTCTATTGACCGGGAGAGCTCCTCCTTGACACCCAGAGCATACGTTCTTACTAGATCCAACAACTGTTGAATAACAGTCCATCTCTGCGGACTCAGCTCTAACGGACGTTGGGTGCCCATGGTGTATACCAGCTCGAACTTCACGCTGAAGTTCTCATCACTTTCGTCTACAATGTCGCGCGAGGCTGTTCTGAAAAGCTCTAGGGTTCGCAGCAGAGAGCGACCCACCGCTTCTTTTCCAGCAATGAAACACTCCAGACACATGAGCTTCAGCGATAAAATATGTTCCGGCTGGACGAGGAGAACACCACCCTCCGACATGCATTCGCGACACATGCGCTCAACTTCCGCTGCTTCTGCTGCGCCAAACTTGAGAGACCTGGAAACTGGCATGTGATAAACTCGACGACCCAACAACCCTCCGAGCTTGGAGACGAGCATGTGGAACATCTGTCGGGATTGCGGTTTTGCAACGAGCACACGAATCAAGTACGATGAGTTCGCAAGTGCGGCTGCCACGATTGGAACGATGACGGATGACTTTCCCTCGCCCATATTCAGTTGCATCACGGCATTCTCTCCAGGACTGAGGTTTCTCATTTGTTGAGCGATCTCTTCCTGCACGTCTCGGATAAGAATCCCGTTTTCAATTTCCAGAAGCAGAGACTCCGGGAATTCGTGGGGGTCCCAATTGACGTGCCCTGGGTTTTGAAGCTCACGAATTAGGTCGTCGCGGTGGTCTGTCAGACTAGATAGCCTTTTCGCCCGCTGAAGGGCCGTAATGGATTGTCCGTAGGTGATCAAACAGGCTTTCCATTGCCTGGGAAGTTTATCCCACCGGTCCCGGGCCAGCTGAGTAAGGAGTAGGGTGGGTGATATCCTTGGCCAATGACCTATACCTTGCAGCAGTGCCAAAGAGTTTTGGTGTATGGCGGTCTCCTTAGCCTCTGGCTCGGATGCTCTACCAGAAGGTGTCATTCGCGACATGATTGTCACATACAGATACCCAGAGTACGTCTCGCAGTGTGCCTGGTATTTGAAAAAAGCTTCCCTGAGCTTGCTGGAATTGATATTGATGCATGCCGTCTTGTTTGTCTGTTGTAGCGACATGATACTGCTTCGAAACTGTTCGACGTAACCTTTCTCGTACTTCGACTTGGATTGCAATTCGAGTGTCTTGGCCAAATCTAAGGTTCGAGGAGCCGACGTTTTATTGAGAGATTGAGTCTCCAATAGCTCGCAAAGCTGCGGAGGACTCATTTCAAAGACAGGCGGAGAGCCTAGCAAATCATCGACACAAATGAATCTTTGTCCCCTAGTTAGAGGCTCTTGGTGGCATGGGAAAGATATTGATGGCATGTTCACCGGCTGAGTTTCCTGGGCGCTCAATAAAGATGCAAGTTGGGTGAGATAACCCCCGAATTCCTTGTTGTCGTGCCAGGTCGCGAATCTCTCACGGACATGGTCCATGACCTTGTGAATGTCAAAGTAATCTGGCAACCTTGGAAGATCCCAGGAGTGCGGTTGCCCGGGCTCGCGCACTGGCCATATCTTGTACAAGTAAGCCATGAACTTATCAACTGCCCGGTCCCTGTTTTCTTGCTTAATAGAGCTTCTGCGGTTTTGAAATGCCGGATAGGTTTCGTATGTTCGGGGAGAAAGATTTGATTCCGGAGTCTCTTCGAGGGCAGCTGAGTAGATCAGAGACCGCATCTCGTCTTTATTTATCACGGTCCCTTCACACAACGCAAAAGACTTTCTGGCCGGCGAGTAAATTGAAGTCGTCCCTGGCACGATGTATAACGAAGCTAGAGTCTCGAGAACAACCATGCTGATCTTTTTAGAGAACGCCAAGGTTGCGAGCCACATCATAAGCCGGAATTTATCCAATCGGGGGCGCATCGAGCAAAGTAGTCGGTGAATGCTGCACCAATACTTGGACGTAAGCTTTGTGGGATCCAAGATAAACCCTGCATCATAATTCAACTGCCTAACATCGAACGAGACACCGGGGCCATGGATCATATTGGATGCTTCGAGAAACTCCCAGAGGCACGAAGCCAGCCCCTTGGCTGTGTTACTCCGAACCAAGGGAATGTCATCGTATATCATTTTGGACACTGTATAGGCACGAGAACATTCTTTCGAGTTGTGGTTGCGGTCGAGGCTTGTATAGCGGCGATCGCATTCGAGCGTGTAATCCTCCGCGCCGAATCCAGTGACCCGAAAAGCGGATGATCGAATCAGCTCACGTTTCAGCAGGTCCGCCTCTACGCGCGGTAGTAGAGGCTGCGAGACCAGCTTGTCAGTGTGAAAAATTCCCATCCGACGGTCTTGTTCAAGTATTTTCGCTACTTCCAGGTAGAAACTTCCATGCTGGGCCAGAAATCCAATATCGTTGTACCATCGAATGGTTTGCATCACGCGCTCATTATCAGGATAGTACCATCTTTGGGGTGTTAGCTCTGCGATTTTGGCAAGGATTGTACAGTTCTCCGGCCGCAGTTGGTCAAACGATCTCACGGCTGCAGAGCGTAGGATGGACAGAGCCTGCTCGGTACCGGTCTTTTGTGTCAAGGGATCAGGCAAGCAGAATGAGGTCAGGGCATGTAGGTAGGACAAAAACAGTTTACTCTGTAAACTCCCGTTATCAGCAAGCCGGCCAAGCTGTCTGTCCACCGAATAGGGATGAGTCCGGGTGTCTGCCTGCCAGCCAATGTGAACATCAACATGGTCATCATCCTTATTCCAGAACACATCTCCTTCCGGAACAAGGACGAGGCGATCTTGGCTGGTCTCGTGGACCAGGATAAGCTTATTGCGCAAGCCAACCAACGTGTCTAGGGACTGGTCGGCATCAATATACATCCCACGGTATTGTCGGGACCGGATGAAGGAGAATCCTGATTGGAGGCTATACCTTAGTCGAAGACGGGGAATGTCAATGTCCAATACCGATGTCTTGGGGTTGAAGATACAGTGGACTTTGGTGGGTTTCTCGATGGGTTTGAGGATCTCCGAAAGTAGTTTGGCGGTTTGACTGCTCACATTCACCAAGTACACACCGTCCTTCACAAGGAACCATATGTCCTGAGACCCATTTCGTTGTAATCTCCAGTTCGATTCTGACGAGACCCAGGGTTCTGTCACAGGCCGAAACTCCACATATCCACCGTCTCGATCATACCAGTGCACATGATCATCGACAAAAGCATCGGGGAACAAGCCAACAAACAACCTTGGGGGAACAAACTCCTGGATCTGAACTCCCTTCCTTGCCTGAACCTCGAGGTCATATTCTGCTGAGTCTGAGATACTTCCCCTTCCCAGGTGTATGGTGTACCCCATATGTTCCTTCTGACAGGAGAACTGCATTCGGGGAACATCACTCGGCATGACTTCTAGCAACGATCGACCAAAAAGCCTCTTATATGTTTCGTGGCACTCATACTCGGAGGGCAGACGGGCCAGTGGGAGACCATTGACGAGCAACTCGCCCGTTAGCAAATTGAAGTGCACAAGCAGGCTTTCATCATTGGTCGACTGAGATGCTGTCCGGCTAGCGAGCCAAATCTCATCTTCCTCCGACGCGGCTGTCCAACTCGACGACGCGCAGTACGCCGCCCAAGACTTCTTTATGGCCGTGTCGAGGGCCGGGCTCCCTTGACGGATCATATTCCTTGCGAGAATTGGGTAACAACGATACGCTAGGCATTGCCAACGGCGGAGCAATATCGGAAGCATAGGATCAGAATCCATAGGCAATACCCCTTTCCGGTCATTTACTATCATACAGCATCGGATGTAAATCGAGGCGTCAGACGAGGTGTTGAGTGAGCGTTCCAAGAACGTTCCCTCGCAGTCGAATGTTTCAGCACAGATCAACGCGATATGAACACTTCGTGCAAGGAGGGAGTTCCGGGGCTCATCGTCGACTGTGCAGCTTGCTTTCTCCGAAACCTGGTTGACCCACTTGAAAGCAATGTTGCGAAGATGGCTTAATCGCTCCAGACACACATCATGGATCCCTGCAGACGACGATAGAGATAGCACTCGGAGTGTGAGAGATATGAGTACACTGAGCCCATGCACGAACTCCCAATTTTCTTCCAAGCGTTCTATTTCTTCCTCAATTCGATGGAGAATCGTTTCAGCAAATCTGTTATCATTGAGAACCTGGTGACCCTGTCTGGCCGCCGAGTCCTTGAACGGTGGTCCGGCCTGATTGATCACCTGAAGGATAAAGATATCTGTTTCCACCTTCTTGAAGTCCACCGACGGCATGGCCAGCTGCAGGAGAATATTCTGCCACTGGATCTCCACCCCAAGGGGCAGTGTACACAATGCTTTAAACTCATCAAGTGGCATGTCCACAGGAGAAGAAAACTGTGAAGCGAACACAGTATTAGGCGATGGGCCGTTATGGTTGTCCGCTGGCCGGAACAAGAACCGTTGTAGAAATGAGCATCTCTGGGGCAGTTTATAGTTGCACGACTTTGCCGTCGCATGTGTGGGCGTTAATTCGCTGATGAAACATCCAATTGCACTATCATAGTATTGCCAGTGAAGTCCATTATTGAGACAAACATCTTCCTCGGTCACACTAATAATCTCTTTGTGACGACGATGGGTCCTCTTGTGGGGCTTGACTTCCGACAGAAGGCCGACGCGCAGTCCACCGTGCGTGAAATAAGACGAAAGGCCACGATAGCCCTGTGGCGTATATTTGGCTATTGGTGTCACTTGCGCGGCATAGTCATCTTCCAAAACATTACACAAGAAGAAGACAGTGGCATCACGCCAACATCCGAATGAACGGGGTACATTCAATTCAAAAACCGTCGACTTTGAGGCCAGGTGACTTGCCGGAAGAGGCCACTCGTGAACGTGAATCGTGATCGAGCTAGCTTCACGCTGGCACTCGCACCTTGCGCAAGAATACTCGTTATGACGGAACTCCCGAAAGTCAAAGCGTCGATCGAGAATAACCTCGCGGTAGTCGCACTCCATTCGGGCGGCCTGATCCATCAGTTCAGTGTACTTCCGATGCTTCTGACGAAGTTCATTTTCTTTCTCGCTTCTCTGACGTCTCGCAACAGCTTCTATGTCGGCCTGTAAGCGTTGGTGCTCAGTTGACTGGTTAAAATATTGAACTGAGAAGCAAGATGGTGTACCGAAGTCCGAGAAAATACCACACCCAGGGTGTCGGAGGCGCTGTCGCCGTTTGTGTAGATAAATTTCTGCACGGGCAAGTCTTTCCATCTGGGATGTGAACGGCAGCAGAAGCGACTCAAACATGCCTTCCGGGATGCAGGGGTCGTAATCATTCAGCATCCCATGAATATGGGTTGCGGACCGGTCACAGGCAATCCACAGTTCAAGAATAGTAAGCAGCATAGTCGAAACTGCTTCTGGATTGCTAGAGTACATAGGTGAGGCAATGCTATGATAACTCTCAATGACTGCCCTCAGCCGGCCACAGGTGGCCTCTTCACCCAAATGAGATGCGATCCATACATCAAGGTGCGACGCAACCCAAGCCTCGAAGGAGGCAAGATTGTACACTTCGTATTCTGGATTGGTGAGGCTCACATGACCTGGAAGCTCCGTAGGTTGGTAATGGACAAGACTCGACCTTGGTGAAAATTCGACCGAAGCTTGAGAGTGTCGATCTTCCTGCCTGTGGATTCCTTCGAGATACTGATCAAGACCAGGCAGCGCACAATGAGTGTCTTCACCAAATTCCAGGCTTTCCAAAGATGACATATCATGCTCAAGGCTATTTTGCGACATGGCCTTTTTCCAGCCCCCCTGGACAGTCTTGCTCGCTCTTTCTAGCGTTTGCTGAACCAAGGAAAACCAAGGAGGGTCGCCGGACAAGTTTAGTTTGAGTAACCGGCGAGCGACCTTCATGTTCATGACATGGATATGCTCTTTTGGCATCGTTTCGCACGAGTTGTCAATGATGGTACTCAAGCAATAGACCATAAACGATTTGTAAAGATCATCGGCCTGTGACGACAATCTGCGAAAGGCGACCTGTAGTATCACGCGCACTAGCAGCCACAGGGGAGATCTTCGCCAGGGATACTTTGCTTTATGCCACATCACCTCGTCGCGGGTATTCTTCTGTATCTGTAAATCCTCGACGTTGACGCACATTGGGCGCAGGAACGACATAAAAAGCTCGGTGACCATCTTGGGGTCCGTGGTATCTCGGTCCTCATCGTGCTCTTGCCCTGCTTTGCGCACCTTAATTTTCGTCCCCTGAACAGACTGATAGCTCATTTTTGCAATAGTTGTGGCAATGGTGTCCCGGAGGCCAGACTCAATAAATGTTTCTGGATCCAAGGCAAGCGCAGGGCCTGGAAAATCACGCTGAAGGCGGCCTAGCGTCTGTATAATGCTTTGATTGCGCGGAGACAGCTCGAAAGACTCAACATGTATTGTATCGCTTTTTTTGGTCATTAAAACGCCAGCGTTCTGAGCACGAACGAAGATGGGGAGGAGGCCACCTGCGACAAGTTAATATTCAGCTCCTGAAATTTGAGCGACCACACTTACCCTCGGTATTCAAATCAATAAGCGCCTCTTTGAGCTCCATCTGATCTACCCCGCCGTGCAAACTGCATGTCTTTCTCAACCGGGTGATCATCGTGATAACGGTCGTACAGATATCTGCTTCCTGACTCGAGACATGATCTCTGAATTGGCAAAGGGCTTCAATAACTTGGTCAACAAGTGCTATGTCGTATAAGGAATCGTAATCATCCTTCTGGGGCAGTTTGGGAGGGAGGAAGACGTGGTGAAATAAGTACGATATTGCTTCTGGAGGCATCTTCGCGGATGGAGAGCCCCTGTGACACTACTATCAGTATCAATAGGAAGGAGGTTCCTTGGTTGGTTGGTTAAGGAGAAGAAAAAGAGCAGGTGGATGGCAGAATGACTTTCATATAGGAAATATAACAAAGAGGTTCAAACAGTGCGACAAACACGTCTATAAGCGAGCTGCATGTTTACCTGCATATTAAGGCCGCTTCTAGACACAATATAAGGAGGTTATAGGTGTTGCTAAGGCATGAGACACAGGAATCATATTTAAGTATCGCAATTGTTATCTTTTTATCATTTCAGTAGCTAGCACACACTTGATTTGCTTTGCTGGACAAAACCTGCCTATTTCACTGTCCCTGTTCACAGCATTTACATTCTCCAATATTCACCGTGGCTCAGTGGCTGCAGTGAATGGGGAATCGACATTTCTATTGGTGGTTTATCCTGCTCAGAATGGCACAGTTTCCGTTAATAGTATTAGATGTGAGAAAATTGATGTTCAATAACATAGGCTAAGAATATGAATTGATGGTAGCTAATTAGCTGGGAATCTCGGAAAAGCAGTCCGTTATCGAGTAATGTGGCGGGTCCTCGTCCTGCTCCATATTATCGTCCCATTGTATATGTCCTGGCGATGTAGCACCGGATAAGCCGAGCTCGTCTGGCTTCGTATCGTGAATATGACTTTCGTAGCGTGGAAGTTGCCCATAATCTGCATCCGAACTATCTGGGTCATAAAATGTCGAAAAACTCATACCACTCGGCGGGCGGAAATAGATAAATATCGGGAGGGAGAAACGGATCTATGTACGTTAGCCCAGTTCATATTCCCAAGCAAGAAGGGTTGACCAACAGAGGACATATGGCCATCCGGATTTAAGAGCGTGATAAGGACTGCAATCTTATGCTCGACTTGGAGATTTGTGGTTGTTGTGCTTTGTAGGCAATGTCTTGTAAATTTCGGGAGGCGGAGGATTCGAGAGAAGTGGTACAAATAATATGTATATTCGTCATCAGAGGGTACTATGTCCAGTTCATCCCAGGGTGGAGGCTTATATTCATCGATCAACACTTCGCGAGACCGGGTGGCCGGCGATGGTTTTGTGACATGGTGTGTTTCTATAAGGCGTGTTTCAGTCGTTCCCAGTTTGAGGCCCTTCAGCAGAGGTATAAAGCGGAAGTTAATGTGGGTGCTACTGCCGACTGACAATGCTCGGTTGGGGATGTCGACGTTGTATATGATCTTCTCTGGCCAGTCATATATGATAGACTAGCTGCGTCAGTGTCTGGCGTATGTTATGTTTGTAGGGAATTTGATCACTCACACTAGGCTCCCTGAGTAGGGACATCGCATGCATTTTTCGCACCTGGATTTCCCTCGATAGACTAGTCAGGCTATCACCGGTGTTGCTATAGACCTCCGCTCGAAGGATGTAGCGGATGAAGCAGTCATCAATACCCTGGACAGTTTCCGGGTTCTGTCCCGAAAGGCAAATTTCGAAGGGAAATTCATAATTATCTGGCTGCAATAATACCGGGGAACAGCGTCCAGGCGTCGGGAGGAGATTCCATATCTGATGGTGGAAGGGGACCTCTTTCCAGAGTACCTTATGATGCCGATGGGGGCTACTATGGAAGTTCGGATCCCAGCTAGTGTATTTGTGAGTGATTGGGTCATGGAATGTGAAGTAAAAAGGTTGGTTTTCTTGGACATACTTGATGTAAGATTGTCCCTCCAAATGTAACTTGATATCCTTTACGCTGGCGGGTTGGCTGATGCATAAGACTACCCTACCTCGAAGATGGCCATAGCCAGCCCCATTATGCGTTGCTGGAAGCCAGATAGCGTCGTCACTTAATCTGAGGATGGTTAGACTTTCGCATCGATCTATTCAAATCCAACATACCTGATATCAAAATAGACCGGCTCGAGCCTTTGCGGCGCAAAACAATCGAAAACACTGAGCAACATGCTGTCAACCCTAGGTAGAGAGGATATGCTTCTTAGATTATAAATTTATCCGTGAGCTCGAGATGTTTATATCGTGATTCAGGGCTTTGTTCTACCAGTGCTCTTTTCGGCGTTCCCGCTGGCGGGTAGGTTACCCAAAGGAGATAACTGAGCGGAATATTCCTAATTTGGATATCCACCCGCTAGTCTTGTTCTTTCAATCTGCACCCCATATACTTAGGATTGTACGAGCATACTCGTGATTTCTAAACAAATGATTGGAAGTCTCGCCACCGAGAACCTATAAATATGATAGTGCCGAAGCCCCCGTCGAAGTCCTATTCCTTTTGTATATTAACACTATTCTCGTTTCGTCAAGTTGCCGGCAAAAGAACACTTGACTTCAGATCCTCATCTTGTATTTCTATCGTCTTTTCAATTTTCGTGTCACCATGTCGCTGCAAAATCTTGCTCGTGCTGTCCTCGCTTATCGAGGCTTGCAGACCCTTACTTGGCAGCCCAACTTGAAACGCTGCTTAGCCACATCCACCCAGGGTGCTCGTAAAGAAGGCGATATCTCATCAGTCTTCGTATCCTTGTCCGGAAAAGAAAGATCCTCTCTTCCAGAGAGATTTGCGAGTCAGAAGAAGCGGCTGATTGCTGGCCGAGAGGACCAGATCCAAAGGAGCTGGGATCGTTTGCTCCGCAAACTGAAGGATGAAGTTCATCTGATTGAGCAGCGCGGGTCTGACATTGTTCCGTCTATTGACTTCAAGGATATCCATTCTGCCCCGGCGGCATTTCGGGATGAGCTCAGGAAACGGGGCGTTGCTGTCATTCGAGGGGTAATTCCTGAGCATGAGGCCAGGGGTTACAAGGAGGAGATTGAGCATTATGCTAAAGCAAATCCGGGAACAAAAGGTATGTCTCTGGTTATTTACCCTCCATTAATGCATAGTACTAACGGCGATCTAGCATTCCCCCCACACGACCCCCAGGTCTATGAGTTGTATTGGTCGAAGCCCCAGATGCGCGCACGTACACATCCCAACATGCTCGAGGCGCAACGCTTCCTTATGAGCTTCTGGAAATCGGATTCACCGGATGCAATAATATCTCCCACCCACCCCCTCACCTACGCGGACAGACTCCGTATTCGCCAGCCAGGAGATGCGGGATTTGCGCTCGGTCCGCACGTTGACGGAGGAAGCTGTGAGCGTTGGGAAGACAACGGTTATGGCCGCGGCAATGTCTACAAGAACATCTGGGAGGGTAACTGGGAGCAATATAACCCATGGGAAGCTAGCTGCCGAGTCCCAGCTGAGGCCGATCTTTATAACGGCGCTGGGGCATGTTCAATGTTCCGCATGTTCCAGGCATGGCTGAGCATGTCACATTCTGGACCGAATGAAGGGACTTTGTTGGTGAACCCGCTTCTTTCAATGTCCACGGCATACTTCCTTCTCAGGCCCTTCTTCGAGCCGGTCTATGCACCGCCCAAGGATTGCTCGCGAATGGCACTGGATACGTTCCTCGAGCCTAGCAACTGGCGGTTGGAGAAGGAAACTTCAAGCAGACTGCAGGGTGCAACACCAGGTTACGGACAGGAACTGACCACAGCGCTTCATCCTCACCTTGAGCTAAGTAAATCAATGATTCATGTCCCCAAGATCGCCCCTGGTGACTATGTTGCCTGGCATTGCGACAGTAAGTTTCCCGTTCACTTCCAATCCACGGCGAACCACGTGGCTAACTCTTTGAAGGCATCCATGCGGTCGACAAAGTACACAACGGATCCGGAGACTCGAGCGTCATGTATATTCCCGCGTGTCCTATTACCGAAGCCAACGCGGCCTATGTTGCGCGTCAGAAAAATGACTTCGTCGCGGGTATTCCTCCACCAGATTTCCCAGGAGGTAAGGGAGAGAGTGATCATGTTGGAAGGGCCATGGAGGCTGATTTGCGAGGACTCACCAATCAATTGGGATTGCGATCCTTCGGGTTCGGGGAGTGGCATCTGAATGAGGGAGGTTTGTCGCACGGACAGCGACAGGTTTTGGAGAAAGCAAACCAGATTCTGAGTGTTTGATATGGATGACTGGTTTGAATAATGAATTTAATACCTCTCGCAAACTATTATAAGACGAAGTATAAGTCGAGCGACACAAGAAATATCAAAAATCTTAAATGTAGGGCATCCGGGTGAATTCCGGCTAAACACTACCCCATAATTTAGCCAACCCCACCCCCGCTTATTTATACCCATCTTCACCCCAGAAAACCCCCAACAGTCAACACAACACTCCATCCCCCTCAATTCAACCCAATTCCACCCAAAACACACAATGGGTAAAAGAATCATCATAACCGGCGGCTCCGGCAAAGCCGGCCAACACATCATAACCCACCTCCTCTCTCGCGGCCACGAGCTATTCAACATCGACCTCGCCCCGCTCCCCGCACACGTCGCCCCAGAATCCCTCGTCCACACCCTCCGCGCCGACCTCACAGACTCCGGCCAAGTCCACGGCGCCTTCACCTCGCACTTCAAAATCACCGAACCCTTCCGCGACGACCCCCTAGGCAAAGACCGCCCCGACGCAGTCATCCATCTAGCCGGATACTCACGGAACATGATCGTGCCCGACAACGAAACGTTCCGCACGAACACGATGTCAACGTATAATGTGATCGAGGCTGCGTGTCGGCTGGGGATTAAGAAAGTTATCATTGCGAGTTCGGTTACGGTGTACGGGGTTAGTTATGCGGAGGGGGATGTAGGGTATCCGAGTTTTCCGGTGGATGAGGAGATTGATGCGAGTCCGATGGATAGTTATGCCATTGCGAAGGTTTGCGGGGAGAGGATTGCTAGGGGTTTCGCGAGGAGGTTTCCCGGTGTTGATGTTTATGTGCTGAGGATAGGGAGGGTGGTTAATCCGGAGGAGTATCGGGAGGGGATGTTTGCTTCGTATGTGGAGGAGCCGGAGAGGTGGGCGGTGCATGGGTGGTCGTATATTGATTCGCGGGATTTGGGGGAGATGTGTCATTTGGGGGTTGAGAGGGATGGGTTGGGGTTTCAGGTGTTTAATGCTACGAATGATGAAATTACCAATTATGAGGATTCGACGAGGAAGTTTCTTGAGAGGGTTTCGCCCGGGACGCCGTTTACGAGGGAGATGGGGGAGAGGGAGGCGCCGCTCAGTAATAGAAAGATTAAGGAGTTGTTAGGGTTTCGGGAGAGTCATCCGTGGCAGAAGTATTATGAGAGTAAATAGACTACTATAGATGTACAAAACATCAACTATGAATTATGCCCCGTGACAGCACCCCAGATATACGCCGTCCAACTCCCAACGGTAACCAACATGAGAGCACTGGAACAAACAACCGCTATCCACCTACTGCGATTACGATGCATAACAAGGTGCTTCTCGCGGAGCCTCACAATATCCTCTCCCCGGGCAATCCTCTGCTTCCGAGTCCACTGCAACGGAGCCAGATTCTCACTGAAGATTGCCCCGGTTAAAATTGCCAGACCCACGGCTACAGAGCCTGCAGCGAGGAAGAGGTATACACGGACGACGCGGCGGTAGGAGTCGTCGTCGGCGTCTTGAAGTGCACCGGTGATGATTCGGATTATGATGCTCATTCTGTGTGTTTCGTTAGTAGAGTTTTATAAAGGGGTATGCTGAGACATACGCATTATTCATGGTAACTTTCAGGGCATATGCAGACCCAAAAACTGATTGTTGCCATAGTGTCGTCCGAATACTGTCAATGATGGAGGTTGGACCTAGAGACATCGCGATGGCGTATATGCCGAACGATGCACCGGTCCCGGCTTCCGTTTGGGCAAAGTTGACAAGGGCCATGCTTAGGAGCATGCCAATTCCGCATACGCACACTTGTTAAATTAGCACAGTCTTAATAGATTGGTCTTGCTGAATAACTTACTGACTGATGCTCGATTCCCGAGAACATCAATGAAAATACCCAAGCACGGAACGAGAAAGAATCCTAGAAAGTCAGCATCATAACAATTTATTTAGGAAGAAAAGAGACCCACCAGCATACTGCGACAGCGAACTATACCACCCCGCCTTGATAGCATCAACATTAAACCTCTTCTGCGCCAGCTCTGTCGCATTCTGACTGAACACCGAAGCAGTACTAGTCTGAAATATCGAGAACCCCATAACAGCCCAGAACATCCAGGGGAGCTCGAATATCTTCCTGAGTTCAAACTTCTTGTTCTTCTCCGTCAGAGTCTCTTTGGTGCCAATGTCCTCTTGGCCTTTGAAGTGCTTGTTGCAGTAGCTGTTAAAGAAGTAGAAGACAAGGGTAGCTACGTTGGTGAAGAGGTTCATGAAGACGGATGTCCAGAAGACCCAGGCAAAGTTTCCGGTGTTCTATCTCATCAGCATATGTGCTAGTAGGGGGGGGGGGGGATGTACTCACCTTGGCAATAACATTAGCAGTAGACTTTCCAACAAATCCACCAATCTTCCCAACTGCCAACTCAAATCCCAACGTCGATGCAAATCCGTTGCTTGGAGGAAACCACGACGAGAACATCTTATACTGCGCAATCTGCGTCGCGATATCCCCTAGCGCAAGGATAATCCTACCCCCGATCATGAAATTGAACGAACGGACGGTCGTTGCGGCGGCGACGAGGATCGAACCGATAGTATAGACAATATTTCCGTAAACGATCATTCCTACACAGTATATGTGAGTTACCAGCAGTATGATGGCTTTTTTGGTAAATGCAGCTTACCAGCACCCCCGACTCGATCTGTGATAATACCACTGACCAACATGAGCAAGGTAGCCATGAAATCCTCACTTGCTTCGAGGAGGGAGAATTGGGTGTTTGAGATGTTCATTTGCTGCATCGGTCAGCACTTTTTCTTCATTATGTTTCATGACTAGAGTGCATACCTTCTTGATAGTACTCTTCATCGCCCCCGTAACACCGGAACTCCAACGCGAACCAAAACTGATACACGAGATAAGAAAGACCGCGAACAGCTTCGCCAATAGTGGCGGATATCGTTTTCCGTCATCGTTGCCGGGTTGATTCTCCTGAGCAGGTGTAGCTTCAGTCGATACAACGATCGGGTCTTGAGCCTTAAGCTCCGGCTTGGTCGACTCCATGGTTCCAGGCCTCTGAACGCAGGATTCTTCGGAAAATATTTACGATGCAGCACCATATCGCGGTAAAGACTTCTATTTAAACAGTCAAAATAAAGCCGACGATCGAAGCAGTGGCGTGTCCCGAAAAATCCTGATCAGATAAGATTGGTATCCTGTCAAATGCGCGGCCACCGAGCGGGGTGTGGCCGGTGTTCTTGCTACTACTGGTTAGTGGCCAAGAGCTATTCTTCTGTCTTAACACACTAAAGAAAAAGTCGGATTGAGGAATAATTTTCATTGGATCGGGGCAGAAGAAAAGAGGACTGATTGATAAGATCCCGAGTGGGCATAGGGCTTATCGCCGAGACTTGTCCACGGTATGCAGGACCCATTAAGCTCTTTGGGAAATCTAAACGGATGAACCGTGGATTTACATATTAACTTAGATTAACCGATAAAACTGTAACTCCGAGTCCGAACGTGCAAAAGAAACAACTGAATCCACCCAGAAAGTCCAAGATATATATAGTTCTAGGACAAAAGTCTACGTAATTTCCCGCAACCACGAAAATATATATAATCGCCAAAACATTTCTTTTCCCCATAAAACAACCAAACATCAATATTTTTACTAGATAAGTAGCATATAAATGGTAAAATAGAATAAAAATTTAATTAATAATGTGTATACCACCCCTTTGCCTCTAAAACTGCATTAACACGGTTCTCCAT